TGGTGTAAAAAAGGCATTTCTGCTACCCCCTCAAAAGGAAGATAATTTCTAAAGCAAGCCATGAGCATACCTGGATCAGAGGAGCGAATGGCAGGCGCGCCGTCCCATGCAGTCTCGGGTGGATCCCTGCTGACGGTCATGAAGCTGAAAGTAGCTTTTGCCCAGAGGCGAGGGCTCTCTCGCAGGCTGCGTGGGTCCCCGGTCCCAGCGTTGTATCACTCTGTGCTGGAAAAGGGAGGGAAAGGCTGGACTCGAACCAATTAAAGCTGTAGGGCAGAACAGTCGTTACTCTGCTGTCATATGGAACTGCTTGGAAGACATGATTTATTTTGGATTATATTGGTTTCAACTGGTATAATACGAACTTCCTGATTTTTTGAGGATATGTAGACAAAAAACCTAAATATGGTTTTACTCATCTTTTAATTTAGAACTACAAGTGTTTGGGTGACCTATGAAATTATTTTAATGATCTCCGCACAACACTGAGCTGTCAGCACTATAAATGTCATCCTAACTGGGTATTAGTTTCCATCATGGTCATTTAGTTTCACCAGCAGAGCTACCTCCATGTGAATGTCTTGTCTGTGTCAAGCTGTGGGAATAAAACAGAGGGTCGCTGTTGCCAAGAAGCATCAGTCAAACATCTTCATAATACTCAGTTTGAAGATGAAGACATGAACACAAAATCTAGGAGCACTGTGACTGTGCAGCTTGCCCTTGGAGCTTCAGGCACAGCAGTCAGGAGATGGTTTGCATTCAGACCAGTGCTTTTATCTCTGACCATTAAAAATGTGTTCCAGCATTGCTCATGCTAGTTGACATAGACTTACCCTTATCCTTCCTTATTTTTATAATGCTATGAAAAGTCACAGCGTAAGAAGGAGTACGCCAGAGGATGAGAAGTGTGACAAATTGAATTTGATAGAACTTTAGACCGCTGGTGCGAGATGAATATTGACTCATCACATGAGGCTGCTCTTTTGTTCTCATATAGAAGGCAAAGAAATTGCTTGACCAGTGTCTGTATAGGCTATAAGGATGCATCTAAGATATCAACAAAAAGTAAAGTAACAGAATTCGAAAATAAAAAAAAATGAGGGGTGAAGTGACAGAGGAGGAGTGGAAGAAGTGCGTTGTAGAAGATAAACAGTTGGGCTTTGAACATCCAAAACTTACAGCAAAGATAAAACCACCAAAAGGTTTGTGTGCTTTCTGCTTTAGGTGGTTTAATTTTTTTCTGTTCAAAGTTAGGATTCTTACCATGAAGTTTTAAATTATTATCTTTTGCCTTAGCACACATACTTAATAGTTTAAACATGGCAAAACAAATTCTGCTGTACTTTGGATTTGTTCTTGTGTGGCAGACATTTAAATGACATGGTCATAGGACTTTTCCAACACTGTCACTTGTTCTTTCTGTCTCATACAAATTTAAGAAAGCTACCTGAGGTTGACTTGTACTTGCATATGATGGAAAAAAACTGAATTTTGCTTTCAAGTGTATGGAATTTCAGCTGATACACATTCAGTGTACAATAGTTGTTTTTTAAACTTAGGATAAAAATAAAACGTGAAAGTCCTGTATTGCACGAAACTCCCCTTACATATGATCACTGACATAAGTGAGAGAGCCTCTGACAGAGCAGAAGGTCTGCCATCTTACTCTGCAGGCTCCTGGGGGGATCCATAATAGTTCAGAGCTCTCGTGTCTTGCGTACAACTTTATTTTGCTCCAAAGCACCTCTTTAAAGTCTCTTGTCCATGGCTTTTTTATGGTTCCAGTCTTTTCCATAGCCAAGACAGATTCTTCTTCTTTCCAGCTAGTTGAACATGCAGTTGCAACACTTTTGAATCAGAGGTGTTTCCTTTGAAGCCCTGAAAAGATCTCTTAACTCAGCGAACACAAAGCTTAGTGAGTCGAGGTGTTTGTATCCGTAGTGTGTCAAGAAGTTTCCAAAGGCATCACATCCACAACAGTTAAAGAAATGAAAGAAGGTGCTTAGGAAATTCCTCATTATTCCTGTATGCCTCAGTTCTTCTGGTTTGGGGTGACCTAAGTGAGCGGACACTGCAGTCCTCGCAGGACTGGACCTTTCTGGGTTTATCCAGCCTGCATTCGTCCAGATAGCTCTCCCACGCCTGACGCAGGAAAAGCAATACCCCTGAAAACCAGCACTTGCAGTGATTCATGATTCACAAGCTGGAGCCCTCAGTGTGGCACAAGTGGTTCTGGGTTTATCCAGCCTGCATTCGTCCAGATAGCTCTCCCACGCAGGCAGGCTGACGCAGGAAAAGCAATACCCCTGAAAACCAGCACTTGCAGTGATTCAGCCGCCACAAGCTGGAGCCCTCAGTGTGGCACAAGTGGGCACGGCTCCCGACATGTCGGTGGTGTGTGCCGTTAATACCCGCTGAGGGGCTGAGCCCTGCTTTTGAGCTTCCATAGCTGTGCTGCTTCCATTTAAGGGAGAAAACATAACACATGCTGAACTCCAGATCCCAAATCCACTGGAATCCTAGCCGGCAGTAAGCAAAGCACTGCCAGGGAGATCTCGACATGAAGCATTACGATAGCAAAGGTCTTGAATGACTAAGATTCTTGAAAGCCTTGGTCAGTATCAGAGACAGTTTCCAACTGGGCAAAGTACAATATTTTCCCTCTGCTTTTTATGAATGGCTGGATAGGATTGTGCTGGAGTCAGAGTCCCCTGCGAAAGCCATTCATAAAAATAACAACAAAACAAAACAAACACACACAAAAAACTTTCTAGGTCCAGTCTGGAGCCACTGGGGGCCAGAGGCTGGGAAAACACGCTGGCAGCTCGAGCCCCAGCTATCACTGAAAGTATTCAAGGGGCTTTTTGGTGGTCTGACACTGAAAGTTCAAGGGGCTTTTTGGTGGTCTGAAAAGTATGAAGTGCTGTGTAGAAGGGCAGCTGGTAGAATTACTGTGACACATACTAGGCAGAAAGCCAGAGCTGGCCTTGTTTCAGACATTGTCTTTCCTCTCATTGAAGTGTCAGGACCTAATTCATGGAAAATTTGGTGAGTTGGCAGCTCTTTCAGAAGATTTCATTGAGCTACAGTGTGTGAGAGTCACATGAATGCAGAGTGCACGGCCAAAAATATATGGGGATTTCTGAGCAGGAGAAAACAGTCAGCCTCTAAGGATGTCTGTGGATTTCATGTGGTTTGGGAGTAAACACGTGTACAGGTGTAATCAGCAGGCAAAAAAAGAAAATAAAATGGAAAAGCACTAGTGGCAGATTACTGAAGAGCTCAATGGGTTCTGTAGTTACGAGGGATTCCTTTGAAACAAATCATTCCTTTGTCCGAGGGCATCAAATGTCCGTTAATGAGTTCAGGGCTTGCAGTCCACCTGGAGAAGGCATCAGTAAAACGTGTGCCTTGGTAATAGCTTCTCCATTGCAAGGAAATTTAATGGAAAAGAAAAGAAAAGGGTCCACCCTGAAGTTTAAAGACGGACCCAGTCATCGCATGGGTTTTTTCTCATATTTATTTGAGAGCAGAACTTGGAGCCTGAGGCATAGATAAAAAATATAACAGCAATAGGATTCCACTGAATTAGAAAAAGACTGAAAATAAACAAAGCATCTCTTGTTAAAATGGGACGCTTGTGGTGGGCAGTCTGAATTGAATCAGTTACATTTAATTTACGTTTTCATTGATCCTTCCGACTGAAATATTGCTCTGAAAGGCCAGTTACACTAAACTGTTTATTCAGAAATATTCCAGTTATTTCCTACTACACTGTCATGAAAATTAGGTTTTTGGCCATGCAGAGGGACAGCATGTTGGCTTCTGCCCAAGCGAGGCACTAAAATCACAGCTGGGATTAGGAATAGGCAGGAAGGAAGGGCAGGAAGAAAATCATTGGGTGCAATTCATATACTTTGAAAACAGAAAGTCCTGGAGGGGGGAGGCGGCAGCTTTGCCCCACCGAAGTAAGAAAAGCCCTTTTGTGCTCTCGGTGTCAGGATTTCGTCCTTTATCTGTGGTCTTATTGTTCCGTGCTGCTCCTAGCACCTACAACGGTTGTCACATCACCTGCGCGGTGGTGATGTATTTTAAGTGCACCTGTGTTAGTTCTTTAATCGGTACTCCTCTTCCTCCCCAGGGTGGGGATGAAGGGTACTGGCACCTTGGTGGGTCTCCTGACTCGTGTGGGGACTGTATTTCCCATTCCTGGGTGGGAGCAGCCAGGAGGGAGACTTGCTGAGGAGCCTGTGGCTGTGCCACCAGGTCCTGTGTAGGTAGCCTCCAGTTCTCCCTGCCATGCTCCCAGCCAGCCTGGTGATGGGCAACCCTAAAATCATGTCAACAGGCTCGCAAGGGTCAGCACAGCATCGCCTTCATCCAGCTAGAGCTCCCAAACCAGAGCTTCCCAGGGCTGGAGCCACTGCCCATCCCAACCTCCTAGCTTCAGCAGGGATGGCTTTGGTCAAGTTGGAAGCCCTGGCTTGGGAATGAGGTTATGTGTCCCTCACCTCTCTGCCCGAGTTGTGTTCCTGCTCATGGCCAGGAAGGAGGGCTTCCCCACAGCAGGACACTCCACTCACAGCTGAAAAAGTGTGGAAAGAGAGTGAACAGCATCAGTGGAGACAACAAAATCTAGTTATAAAATTAGGCCACTCTCACCATCTGATAAGTAATGCAGCAAAGTAAATCTAGCAGTACCATAGAAGAGCTGAAAGATGTAACATGCTAAATTAGATTTCACCTTGGTTTTAATTATACAAACTTAACATACTCCTCTGCATCCACAGTAAACTGAACTACTTCAGAGCAAGGTCACAGATAGGTGTAGGAGAGACTGGATGTGAGAGCTGGGCATGTTCATCACTCCATTTCTGAATGTGGGCTTTGCCTATGTTTTATTTCTATTGCTGAAAACATTTTTCCCAGCATCTGTGAAATCACAGTTAAGTGACCTCAGTGAATTTTCTTTCTCACCATGCTTTTGTTTTACTTTTCAGCCTCAACAAGTGGTTCAAAAGAAGCCTGCTCAGGTAAGAAAAGCTAATTTAAATTCTTTAGACTACTTTAAATGAAATAATTCTACAGTATTTAAACTGGTCTCCTTTACTGTAAAGAATGAAGGGAAATACATCAATCATATGAGCTGGGGGACAGCTGTTGGCTTGCTAGGCACAACCACCAGAACAATTCACGCAGTGGCCCTTGGGAATGAGAGGAGGAAGCAGTGGATGGTGCTTGCTCAGAAATGTCCTCTTTCTGCAGCAGCCACCTTGCAATGATAATGCAGGCACATGCACACACACATCTGGTACAAGTCCAGCATGTGATAGGTATCTCTGTGTGTCCTGAACATGGGTGGCTGGGGACTGCTTACAGCAAAGAGGGGGTACAGGTATAAAACCCTTCTCCCCACTGGTCTAAAGGAGTCTTTAAATCCACAAAATAAAATAGGCTGAATTTGGTAACTAGACTGGATTCGTCATAAAGACTAACACATTTGAACTTCTTCTGTTGGATGGTATTATTCTTCTTTAATACCTGGGACAAAGTGCAAGCTAGGGTGTCACGAAACCAGTCAAACACTGCATTTATGATGGCCTCCATGTTCTTTCCATAGCCCACCCCATGTTAAAAAAAACCCAACATCCTAACTCTGCCACTTGGTTGCATATGCACCAGCCTGTGGGCATGGGAGCAGGTCCATCCCTGCCCGGCAGAGTCCATGGGTTGTGCTGCCATACCTCGGTGAATATGAATGATTGCTGAGTCAAGAGCATAAAGGGTCCATTGCTTTTCTGGAAAGAGGTCTGCTTTCAGAAGGGAATAATACTTTTTTTTTCCACCTTATGGTTTTAATACGTTATTGCACAGTGTACATTATTGTAATGTCTACTGTAATCTGAATTAGGAGCTGTTACATAAGAAATAGAAAACATCCTAGCTGTGAGTTGGAAGGGTGAAATGATGTAACTCTCCAAAGCATGTGCAGGAATCGGGTTTCTACAAAAGAAATCAATACAGTTGCAGCAATGATGAATCCATGGCACTGGCAATAATATTAACGTCTCCGAATGGCGGAGATAACATACAGGATGAATGCAGTAGTATTTTCAAGTGAGGTAAGTTTTTCAAGGCGAGGTAATGTCTTTTACTAGGCCAGCTTATGCAAGAAAGACAACGTCAGTCCCCAAGGACTTACCATCTATAACCTTCTGACTACACCACACAATTCAAAACACACCAAGTTGTTCTAATAAAAGATATTTCCTCTCCCTGGTCTCGCTTACATCCTTGAACTGTTACAGCTGCAATCAGGCTATTCCTACTACAACATGGTAGAAAACCTGCCGGTGGACACAAAGCCAGTCATCTCCTCCACGGCATCTGAGAGATAGAGAGGCTTAAACCCTGCTGTGCAACGGAGGCCAAATCCGGGAGGCAAAGGCTGTTCATGTTGTGGTTTCCTCTGGTACGTAGCAGAGCTCATCCCCACGGGGGTCAGCAGGATAAAGGGGTCTAGAGCTGGTGGCTCTGCCTGCAGCCTAGCCTGGCAGAAACTGTTGCCACTGATGGCATGTGTGATGCCACTAGGTCTCTGATCTCCCCGGGCACGTACTCCTGTGAGTGTTTTGTTTGAACAGTAATCGAGTGCGAGCCCTAGCACAAGAGAGGAAGAAATCGCTGGGACTGAGGCTGGGCTGGGGTGTGGGAGGACAAAGAGGGGACCTGGGACTCCGTCTTTTGGTAGCAGAACAAAGTAACGACATATTTAACTGATGGCAGAATGATGTAGATGTTTGAACCAAAGCACCAGGGTTCCCTGTGTGGATCTTCCTGTCCCTTCTTTCCCGAAGCGGTGACTCCGGTGGGGATGCCGTAGGGTGTTTCAGCCAGCCGGATGCAGCCATTGCTGCACGGTGCCTTGGCAGCATCTCTGTGGTCAGAGACACAGAGAGAGAGAGAGAGCTCTGGAGAGAGAAAAGGAGGCCCCTTGACATTCCCATTAGTAATGGAAATGTTTGTATAGAAAATGAGGAGGCATGGAAGAATGTTTGAAAGGAGAGAGAGAGCTTTTTAGAAATCCCCAGTCATCACAACACGACTAGTGAAATTACACTCTTTAAATTATTTGTGTGCCATGTCTTCACTCAGAGAACATTTAATTTTTTTAATCCTTGGCCTGAGGGATATTCAGTGAAATCATTAACTTGTCTTTAACCCTTCCTGGTTTTAATAGGCCCCGCTCCCATGCTTATGCTAGCACAACATTGCAGTTTTGCTGGGTGTGGGTGCATGGCAGAGAACAAAAATTATCGCTGTGAGCAAGTGCTCATGACGGTGTCTTCCTGAGGCTGAAAGAAGGAGGAGGTAAAACAGCGTAATTCCTGGGATGGTCAGGAACTTCATGCTGCTGGGTTTCACTTAAGTCCGGTTGCCTTTCTCCGTTTTCTTTTTTACACTACTGAATTTCCCTTTAAAGGAGGGAGGTTCAGACTCAGAATTAACAACAAGAACATGAGCTCATGCAGGCTTCCTAATCTGAGCTGTCTAAGGAAATAGTGATAAATTATATAAACATGGGGACTACATGGAAGTTCATGGAGGATAATGTAAATCTTACACTACATTCAGAGGAATCTCTTCCTTTTCCATCTGTTTCCTTCAAAATATCCTCCCAGATGGCTTTACCATGTGGCAGTCTGGATTAAGTTAGAAATGTATCCTTTCTTCATCAGTGGGGACTGTAAGAGGTTGCAGTCGAGAACTGCTGTGTGACGGTGAGCGTGTTACCCCAGCCTGCCTTGGTAAAGGTGGCAGAAACTCTTGGCCAGGTTTCACCCCTGAGTGCCGTGCCTTGAATTTTTGTGTATTCTCAAAGATTTCTATGAACATTAGTTTATATCACCGTTGCTCTTGTTACTGTTGCTAGTACCTATGCCTCTTAGGTTTGTGTCATTTTTAAAAGTATAGAAACAGCAAGACTAGATAAAATTCTCATTTTATGAATAATAGCTCTGTTCCCATCACTGTTTCCCAGATTTTAAGCATCATGCAGAGCTCCGCCATGCTCTAAATCTCTTTATGGGTATCTGCTGTCCAGTTTAGGGCCATACAGATGCCTATATAAACTTCTGCAATATCTTCAAACATCCCCAGAGCTCTGAAGTTTTACCATCACACAGCTGGTAAATGCAACAGTAAAATCCACTGGAAATCTACACACCCATATCATTAATACGAACCTTTAAATACTGTGGTCTGTACACATCTTTGTGATGATCACTGACGCATACTCTCACACTTCCTTGGGGAAATGAGGAAAAGATAGCCAGCCTAACTGCGTGACATCGGTAAGTTTAGCACCTTCACGTAAATATGTGCCTAAACCTCAAAAACAATATGCTCCTTTGAAATCTGCTCTGTCTCCAAAGAATGGACAGCCAGATCTTACAAGCATGATGTAGTAATATTCTTACCGAGGTGTGCAAATAAACAGTCCAAATAGAAATAGAAATTTCTCCATTTTCTCATTTTTAAGCTATTTGTAGCAGCTGTAGCCTCAGCCATATGGGGGAGTTACACTCTTAAGTAATACAAAGGAAATAGATATTTTTAGGAAAACATCATGAAAGCTATCAAAGTTTTCTGGAAACAGGACATCTTTTATTTTTATCATTTCTGGAGAGAAGAAATACTGTGAGTGTAGAACAGCCCTTTGAAAATCTTCTTATAATCTCTTTGGGAGGTCTTAAAATCTCAATTCCTTGCAAATCCTTTGTATCTGAGTCTGAAAGACAGCGTATCAGTCAGAAAGACAGTGTATCAGTCAGAAAAGTACACATAAAGTGTACATGGAAAAGTGTACACAAAAAAGTATACAGAAAAAGTACATGAAAAGTACACATAAAGTGTACATTTCTACCTAATGCTAAACGCATTAGATGCTTTTAAAACAACGTCTAAAAAAATCAAATCCCAACAAGAATAAAAGCTAAAAAGAAAAGTGTTATTTTGTATAGGAAAGAAAATGCAGATTCGCTGTATTTTTTCCTGTTGCTCATTTCTTAGTCTTGGTATCAATAAAGTTATGCATGTTAATTAGTCATAATATATATACACCTCACAACTTCAAGTTATATGTGTTCCCCAGCTGCATCCATCACATATGCCTACTCAATGTAGGACACAGTAAATGCTAAAAGCATCAGACAGGCTCTGCAGCCCAGGAGCTACATCTGTGATTCACACATTCATATGCAGCCCAAAAGCAGCAGACTTTGTGAGTAGAGCTGAGCCCAGGACCTGTGGTGGTTGTGTGGCAGGTCCGACGCACTGGGACACCCTGGCTGGCGGGCCCACGGTGCACGTGCTGCGTCTCCTCTCTGTGCCGTGCAATAAATCTGCACATCCACAAGCTTCAGGCGTTCTGCATATGTGCGAGCCACCACATGTGGATTTATTTTTTTCCCTTCTGGGAAATCCCAGGGAGAAATGTGGTAGAAATACTCCAGAGATCCACTTTAGCAGGTTGAAAAGAAGCTTCCAGTGTCACAGACAGGATGGCAAATCCTTTGCACCCATGCAGGTGCACATACACGTCCGAGAGGGCATGTGCCACTGTCCAAGCACACCCTGTGTCCTGCCGAGCCGGGAGTATTGCAGCCTTACTCAACTGAGCCTTGGCTGTAGAAACATTGAAAAACCTCTGCCCTGGAGATTGACCTGGTGCCCTGGGGTTTCATCGCTCTTCCCACTGCATCCAGCAAGCTGTGTTATGTGTCGTGTACTTTTTCTGTATTTACTGATATGGAGAGTCAGAAAGTTGTCAGATCCCAGGGGGACAATGGTCCCTTTCCAATGGTATGTGGAATTTTATACTTCAGAGTAGGGTAACTGCATGTATGTTATACACACCATTCCAGAACATCCTCTGAAAGGCTGTTACCATTCTTTTATGATTGTTATTTTTAAAGCAAATACTGAATGTTTTCCCAAAGACAGCGATAGGGGCCATCTTATATGTGCTGGA